TAAAAATTTTAAATATATCACTATTGACGATGATGGTTTCAAACAATTTTCAAAAAAAAAATTTAAAATGTTTATTTATATTCTGAAATTTTCTTTAACTTTTTGAAAATTTAATTTAGTTTTTGATTTTTATTTTTTGTTCAATATTTTGAATTTTCTTTAATTTTTTGTTTAATTTTCTGAATTTTATTTAATTTTTGGTATTTCAAATTATTATTTATAAAATTTTGTTTATGTTCTGAAATTTTCTTTATTTTTTTTGAAAATTGAATTGCTTTTTATTCATTTTTTGATTATTTATTGAATTTTTATTTAATAAATATTTATTTTTCAAAAAAACTTAATAAATTATCTGTTTTACCTATTCATTAGGTCAAATTTTCAAGTTTAAAGTTTTTTATGACACAAATGTCAATTTGAAGGTTTAAAGTGCTAGTGAAAAAACTTTAAGGTTTAAAATGCTAGTAAGTGTCACTTTGAAGGTTTTTTATGCGATTTTCTCCATTTTAGTTAAAGCAGTTTTCTTTTTGTATTTTTCAAAATTTCAATATATGTACCTTTTTTTTGCTAAAATGTTTAATTTCAATTACGTACTCAGATAAATTAATTTGTGATAATTTTTTATACATAATAACATGATGTCTTATGTTAGAAAATGATGAGACAAAAAGATCATATATTTTTGCCAATCTGCTGCTAGGTTTGTCCACTTCGACAGACTGGTATGACACTCTTCACTCTTTGCAGAATACTAGGTTATCGTCCACTGATTCAGTGCTGGTTCCAATGATTTTCCAAATAACTATCTAACCAAATTTTGAAAGAAATGACTGGTCAAATACAGCATCAACTACCATCGACCAACTAAAGAAACTTCGAAAAACAAAGCGATTCACAGCTTAGTCGTATCACTCAACTAAAAAATTTCACATAAGTTTGACGATATGCTTTTGAGGATTTTCCTGATTTCAGACATTTTTCTGATTCTTAAACTTAAACTATCAATGTGTGTTTGGATAAATTTTGCTGATGTTTGGTTTTCAAACTTACACATAGTACTTTGTAAGTATATCATTTTTAAAAAGTGATCAGTAAATTTGATATTTTATCAAAAACATTTTTCTATACTTCAAAAACTAAACAATATAAAAATAAATAAATAACTATAAAAACGATGGTTCTTGGAGATGATAAATTGTAAAATAGTTTCTAATCCAAAAGACCTTTTCTGAAAAAAATTGACCTAAGCTCTGTTCATTTGGGTGTTGGGTAATCCCTGATAGAATGTAGATATTCTGTTACTAACAAATCAGTTTAGATAAGATTTTGTACAAGTATATTCTCCTATTATTCTGTAACAATCTTGGCTATTAAAACATGTGAATGAAACCTAATTCCTCAAGGGAATTTCATAAACTAATATGGTATTAGAGCCGCCTAGCTCCTGATCCAATTCTCTTCTTTTCTTTCTTTTCTTTCACGCTTTCTTCTTCACGTGATGTACCTCCTGGTTTGAAAGAGCTACGAAATAGCTTTTCTGCTAGGGTTCCATACAGCCATAGTTTAACTAGATTGTCACGTTTCTGCCATTGAGCATCATCGGCATTTGCAGGTAGAAGAACCGTCGATGTGGCCCAGAACGTCAAACGCAAGACAGTGGGTTTGCATCAACTCACGCCAAGCATCATAATTGTGGTCCTCTAGGTAAAGAGTTAATGGAATATGATGTTTGATATTAGTGACCCCAAATGCCCTTTCAACGTGTGCTGAAACAGCAGCCATAGAAGAAGAGAAATGTAGAAACAGAATGAGGTTATCCTTCTAATCATAAAGGTTACAGGTGTATGGATCTTAAGACTAATAGAATCATTATCTCTCGTAACGTATCCTTTGATGAATCCATTTTTCCTGCAGCTACTACAAAAGGAAACACTGCTACTTATCGTTTTCTAGGAGCTGATGATGAACCTTCTCCTCTTTTCCGAAGCATTCTTCAAGGTTCTTCTCTCACTCAAAACGTTCCAACACCTATGCCAAACACTATTCCACCTTCAACTTCTGCTTCCTTTGCTTCAACACACAAAATTGCGCGTATGGCGGCGCCGGTTTCTCCTAGTCGCCACACGATGCAAACTCGCAGTAAATCTGGTGTTAGCAAGCCAAAGAAACAGTTTTCACTTCTTTCCACTGTTTCACCCCTGCCTACTAGCTACTTAAATGCTCTAAAAGATCCGAACTGGACACCTTCAATGACTGATGAGATGGATGCTTTTGATAAGACTAAGACTTGGGATCTTGTTCCCAGGCCTACTAACGCTAATGTTGTTCGTTGTATGTGGCTTTACAAGCATAAGCTTGATGCAGATGGAAATCCAAACCGTCACAAATCTCGACTTGTTGCCAATGGAAAGTCACAAGAAGAAGGTGTCGATTACAATGACACTTTCGCACCGGTGGTTAAGCCCGCAACGATCTGTGCCGTTTTGGACATAAGTCTTGCTAAGGACTGGCCTATTCATCAAATCGACGTCAAAACCGCGTTCTTACATGGCGAATTAGAGGAGACAATATACATGCAACAACCTCCAGACTATGTCAACCCAGCGTATCCCAATCATGTTTGCAAACTCAAAAAGGCCATTTATGGTTTAAAACAGGCTCCAAGGGCCTGGAACTCTCGTTTTGCTAACTATGTAAAGTCTCTTGGTTTCAGATGCAGTGACTCCGGCACTTCTCTTTTCGTCTTCAACAAAGGATCACGCATGGCTTATCTCCTCCTTTACGTCGATGACATAATTCTTACTGCCTCAGACAACTCGTTCCTTCAGTCTATCATTGCCAAACTAAAGACGGAGTTTCCCATGTCCGACTCCGGCAAGCTTCACTATTTCTTGGGTGTCAAGGCAGAATTCAAAAATGGAGGGATCTTTCTCAGTCAATAGTCATACGCTGAAGATATAATTAAACGCTCAGACATGGAGGACTGCAAGCCTGTCATGACCCCGGTTGATCTTCAGTCTAAGCTCTCTCTTGAGGAGGGCGATCTCATTCCCGATGCGACACAGTACCGTAGGCTAGCAGGAGCATTACAATACCTAACATTCACTCGGCCAGACATATCCTATGTAGTACATCAGATATGTTTATACATGCACAGCCCGCGAGTTCCACATCTACACGCCCTTAATCGAATCATTTGGTACATTCAGGGAACAAAGGCTCTCGGATTACAACTTCGCAAGAGCAACATCACAGACTTAGTGGCTTATTCTGATGCAGATTGGGCTGGGTGCCCTGACACGAGACGATCCATTTCTGGATATTGCGTCTTCCTCGGATCCAACCTGGTTTCTTGGTTAGCAAAACGCAAACAAACGGTGTCTAGATCCAGTGCTGAAGCTGAGTACAAAGGGGTTGCCAATGCAGTAGCTGAGCTTTGTTGGATATGCAATCTCATGCTGGATCTCGGATGTCCCATAACCAAAGCAGATCTTGTCTATTGTGACAACATCAGTTCAGTTTATCTCTCTCAAAATCCGGTGAAACATCAACGCACGAAGCATATAGAGATCGATATACATTTTGTTCGCGAAAAAGTAACAATGGGCCAAGTCAGGATTCTTCATGTACCATCCTCTCTTCAGTACGCAAACATTTTCACCAAGGGATTGCCTACTTCACTCTTCAATGAATTCAGATCCAGTCTCACTGTCTCAGGCGCCGACAATGTGACTGCGGGAGGGTGATAGAATGTAGATATTCTGTTACTAACAAATCAGTTTAGATAAGATTTTGTATAAGTATATTCTCCTATTATTCTGTAAAAATCTTGGCTATTAAAGCATGTGAATGAAACCTAATCCCTCAAGGGAATTTCATAAACTAATAATCCCTAAATTCGATAATACATACATAACGATAGATTTTGTTTTAACATTCGAAAATACATCCATTTCATAGTAGACAGGCCCTCTAATGGGCCAGAGACTCGCTAAAGTCTCTAATCGGAAAAGCCCGCCGTAGTTTTTCTTTCCTCCTCCATAAACCTTAATAAAAGTCGGCAAACTGGTCAAGGATCTTCCCCGGCGATTGGATTCAAGTTCTACCTCATTACGAGCTTCCTTGATGCTTCATTCGATTTAGGTGAGTTACTGAAAAGTGTTATATAACTAAGAGAGGTCTTTTATTGATTTGGGTTCGAAACTTGTCGAAACATTAATGCACACAAACTGTTCGACGTAATGCCTAGCTGAGATTTATTATTTATCTTTATTGTAGAAAGGCGTCACTTTTTGAAGTAATGGGAAGCAAAGCGAAGATGTTCAAGTGGTCAAAAGACATCACACCTTCACAGGTTATCAAACTGATGAGAGCTGAAAAGGACGTGGAGAAGCTGATCTCTGTTTTTGATTCCGCAACAGCAGAATACGCAAATGGGTTCTTACACGACCAGAGTTCTTTCAGTTACATGGTCACGAGGTTGGTCTCCGCCAATAAGTTCAAAGCAGCTGAAGACCTTGTTGCAAGAATGAAGATTGAGAACTGTGCTGTTACTGAAGATACATTGCTTTCCATATGCAGAGGGTATGGTCGTGTTCATAGGCCGTTTGATTCTTTGAGGGTGTTTCACAAGATGAAGGATTTTGATTGTGATCCTAGCCACAAGGGCTACGTTACTCTACTTGCTATTCTCGTTGAAGAGAATCAGTTGAAACTGGCTTTTAAGTTTTACAAGAACATGAGAGAGATTGGTTTGCCTCCCACCGTTGCGTCACTCAATGTTTTGATCAAAGCACTTTGTAGAAATGAGAAGACGGTGGATGCTGGTCTTAAGATATTCCTTGAGATGCCTAAACGAGGGTGTGAACCGGATTCCTACACGTATGGGACTTTGATTAGTGGTTTGTGTCGGTTCGGGAGGATAGATGAGGCGAAGAAGTTGTTTGAGGAGATGGTTGAGAAAGACTGTTCACCAACTGTTGTTACCTATACTTCTATGATCCACGGTTTGTGTGGATCGAAAAACGTTGAGGAAGCAATGAGATATCTTGAAGAGATGAAGAGTAAAGGCATTGAGCCGAATGTTTTCACTTACAGTTCTTTAATGGACGGTCTTTGCAAAGATGGGAGACCTTTGCAAGCCATGGAGTTGTTTGAGACGATGATGGCTAGAGGATGCAGGCCAAATATGGTAACCTATAGCACTTTGATCACTGGTCTCTGTAAGGAGCAGAAGATTCAAGAAGCCGTTGAGCTTTTAGATAGAATGAATCTTCAGGGTTTGAAACCTGATGCTGGATTATATGGGAAAGTAATCAGTGGGTTCTGTAATGTCAATAAGTTTTGTGAAGCTGCTAATTTCCTTGACGAGATGATTCTTGGAGGAATAACTCCAAATCGTCTGACTTGGAACATTCATGTTAAGACAAGTAATGAAGTAGTCAGAGGTCTTTGTACAAGTTATCCAACTCGCGCGTTTTCTCTTTATCTAAGCATGAGGAGTAGAGGCATCTCTGTTGAGGTTGAGACATTAGACTCTTTGGTGAAGTGTTTGTGCAAAAAGGGGGAGTTTCAGAAAGCTGTTCAGTTAGTTAATGAGATAGTGGCTGATGGGTGTATTCCAAACAAAGGAACATGGAAGGTACTAATAGGTCACACATTGGATAAAACGATTGTAGGAGAAGCTTCAGAATCTCTTCTCAGAGATTTGGAGATCTAAATACAAGAAAGATTAGATGAAGACAGCTGAAACAAACAAGTCGAATACGAAAAAAAGTTACACAAAAGTTGAGATATTCTTTTGAAGATATTACATTTAGAATCAGAACATCATTTAGCAATGAGCAGAGAGTGGGAAACCGATACCATGGCGTGTAGTAGGAAACGTAGCAAACATCATACTGCAAAAGACTCCTACGGCTACAGGCAAAGCTGAGAGAAGCTCCGCTTCTTCAGCTGATGGTTTTGGGAAGAAACAGTTGACCACATTCCGATCAAACATAACCACGGCTCCAAACACCATTAACGTCATAATGGCATGTGCGAAGTCTATAAACTGTAGTCTGTAGCTTTTGGAACGTTCTTTAGGTAGAACAGCTTTGCCATCGATTATCCAGAGGCCGTTGGTTGTGGCAAAACCATAGCAAACAGTTCCATTCAAGTCCCTGTAAGAGTCAGTGAAGCTGAGTATGAAGCAAGTGAATCCGCAGATGGACACCAGCATTTCTGTCATGAATCTGCTAGCTAAATCGCAGCGCCCACCGTTTGTGAGAACTGGCGATAAGACTTGGTAAGCGAGAGCTGTCCCTGTTGGTAAATGGTTAGCTAGATGAGCTGTGGTCTGAAAAGTCTGACCTATTGCCTTGTGTATCCAATTGTTCCTTTCGACTTCAGGAAACTCTTGAGCTTTCAACAGTGGAGCTTCTTCATCTACCTTAGTCTCCATAACACTCGAGATCCAAATCTCTTTCTTTCTGTTTAGGTGCTTTGTTGTTTCTCTGTTTTGAGCAAATGCGTGAGTCTAATATAACAGTTGCTGCTTACGTTGTTATGCATAGAAAGCAAACCTAAGTATCTGTTTAAGTGAAGTGTGAACTTTGCTTTTGTTGTTTATTTAAAAAGGATTTTAGTTTTCATTTTTGGTTTGCATCAGTTTGTATCTTTTTCTTGGGTTTGGTTAGATTTTATGACTGTAAGGACCATCTTATCGTGAAGTGGATGGCTTAAAGGAAACCTTACTGTTGTGTGGTCTGAAAAATATCTATGGATACGGTCACAAGTAAAACGTGGCGGTTACAAGGAAGTGATTTTTTTTTTTTTTTTGTAAAACTATTTTTTGTTAAATTTCCAATATGTTTATATGTTTTCTGTCAATTTGCTGGTTATATATTACTTTCATAGTTAATTTAACTAAATGCTTTGATTTTGTTTGTTGTACATATTCTTACATTGGAGAAGTTAGACAAAATAACTAAAACTACAAAAACAGATGCATTTGCATTATATTCTGTTTTATATTATAATTTAAGGATAATAGTATTGCAGGGAGAATATATATGTATCTTGCTTCTGAATCTATTTCAAGGTTTGGTTATCTGATTTTGATTTGAACATTCCATGAACAATTTTACCACAAACATCGAGATACTCTATTCAGAAGATCATCTCAAATACAACAGATAATAAGTTAATAATAGAATCAGAACATCATTTATCAGAGATGGTGAAACCGATACCATGACGTGTAGAAGGAAATGTAGCAAACAACATACTGCAAAAGACTCCTAATCCTACAGGCAAAGCTGTGAGAATCTCAGCTTCTTCAGCAGATGGTTCAGGGATGAAACACTTAATCGCATTCTGATCAAACATAACCACAGCTCCAAACACCAGAAACGACATGATAGCGTGTGCAAAGTCTATAAACCGTAACTTATAAGTTCTGGCACGGTCTTCAGGAAGAGTAGCTGAGCCGTCGATGATCCAAAAGCCATTGATTGTAGCAATTCCATAGCAAGTGTTTCCATTCAAGTCCTTGTAAGAATCTGTGAAGCTAAGTATAAAACAAGAGAATGCACAGATCACAACTAATGTTGCGGTCATGAATCTGCTAGCAAAGCTGCAGCTTCCAGCGTTTGTGAAGATTGGTGACAAGATTTGGTATGCAAGAACTGTCCCTGTTGGTAAGAGATTAGCTAGATGAGATGTGGTTTGAAAAGTTTGACCTATTGCCTTTTGTATCCATGTGTTTCTTTCTATTGCAGGAAACTCTCGAGTTTGGATTAGAATTTTATCCTCCTTCAGAAGTGGAACTTCCTCTTCTTGGATCATGTGACGAGAACCATTGATCACAGCTTCTTCATCAACCCTAATCTCCATAACACTCAAGATTCAAATCCCTTTGATCAGGTTCTCTGTTTTTTTTCTATGATGAGATGTTTGTGTTTAAATATAATAACATTGGATGCATACTTTGTTATGCGTTGCAAGCAAGTCTGAAACCAAACCTAAGTATTTGTTTATGTGAAGGATAAGCTTTGACCTTGTGTAATGTATTAAAGTATAATGTGATTCGGATTTAAATTTCCTAGGAACATATGCTTCAACGACTTTCTTTCTCTCTATATAGTCATCTTTTTATTATAAAAGTTTTGGTTGTGGGGTTCTTGTTAAACAAGAAGGATGTTTTACGTTAATTTAATAAATATTTCTCCAACGTCTTTGGTTATTTTCGAGTATTTCTTGCGTAGAGGCAAGGAAAAAGTATTACAAGTTGCCAACAAATGTTGGATGTAAAGATATGATATTCCTAACGTTAATTAAATATTATGTAATGACTCTTTAAATGATAACTAACGTCAAAATCAGATTAGGTGCTTCCTTGGGTGAGTCATGGATATGAGACTTGCACGTTACAGATTTTTCATTATTCAAATATTAACGAACTAAAGAATGAAGAAAGAAAAAAAAAAGAAAGAAATGCAATATCGTTGACAAACAGAAATTTAAACAAGTTGCTTATGGAGCATGTTTTCTTGGAACAGTTTGGCTAAGTGAACAACAAGCGCATATAAAGAGTACTACAAATTTGGGCTTAAGGCCTGTTGTGAACAATGTTGTAGGAATAAAATTCTCGGCAAGTCCTATAACTGCAAAATGCTTTTGACTCTATTAAACAAGATTATTGTTCATGTTCCCTCTCCCTCTTGCATTAGATCACTTCAACTGCTCAACCTTTTCTGTGTTGTGTATAAAGACGAAGATTCTCAAGAATCAAGATAGTTCTTGTATCGAGCTGACATGTTCTCAAAGACTTGTTTGTGCGAGTATGATGACAATAAGGTTCAGTGTGAAAGTGGCTCTTCTTTATAAATATTAATCATGGTGTTCAAAAGAAGATTTACTAGGCTCTTGTTAATAGATTTCCACGGGTATTAAACCACGTTACCATCAAATGATTCTGTTGGAGACAGATTATGTCAAAATGGTTTTAACCGAGGTAGGTTATACCATTTTGATATATCTGTTTGTCTCTACTTCTGTTCGTATATTTGATTTCTTATATATATTTATGTCTTTCTTATTTTTCATTCAAGTGGTTGTAGCGCAAACATTGAAATAATTATTACTAATATAATTTTAGAGAATATTTGTTGAAACACCATATTAGCACATGTAATTAGCCAAATACACATGATTTGACATAAATAAAAATAATGACCAAATTGTCATTTCTTTTACATGTGACTCTCTCTTCTGACATTCTCTCTCTCTTCTGATATTCTCTCTCTTCTGACACACTCTCTCACACTCTCTTTCCTTTAATTCCTCTTCTTTCTCATTCCCAAACTCTCTTATCATTTTAATTACTTCTTTTTTGTGTAAAAATTTATTGTTGCGAAAAAATTTATTACAATTTTATTATTATTCTTTTGAATCTAAATTATTTTAATTTCACTACATTCTGAAAAAATCAGCATTGAAGTTTTTTTAAAAATCGCCGAGATGTTAACACTTATGTTAGCTATTAACAAATAATGTAGATGTCAACAAAAGTGTTAACTGTTAACAAACACATGTATCAGATGTATTAACAGAGGCATTAACTGTTAACAAATTTTGTAAATGTTAACAGATGTGTTAGCTGTTAACAAAGACATGTATTACAAGTGCTAACAGAGATGTTAGTTGTTAATAAATTTTGTAGATGTCAATACATGCGTTAGGTATTATATATTAACAAATAAATATTGTTGAAGTTTCATTTCTCTATCAAAATGAGTAAATTTAAAATCATTTACAAATAAAATTTTAGATGAGAAACAAAAATCAAGAAAAAAGAAAGAAATGAATGTGAAAAAGAGTTATGTGTGGTTTAAATAAAATGAATGTAAGAAAGAGATGAAGAATCGTTGGAGAAAGAGAGATATAAGATATTTCACATGGAAAAGAGAATGTGAGAAAGGTAAAATCGTCTGAACAAACTTAAATTGTGTAAAACTTTACTTTTATATCCCATCATAGATAATTGCCTAATATCGGCTTCAATTTTAGACATTTGCCTAATTCTCTCATAATTTTACGTGCACTGTAGTTTTTACATATATATATATTTATATCCACATACTATACACACCTTGTGAATTAGTTAATGAAATATCAGCTTTAATCTCTATGATCTCTTAACTTAATATCGTATCAGAGTTCTAATGAACTTCTTTCTTCCGTATTTCCTTCGTTTTCTCGTATTAAATTATGGAGACTCTTCTAAGATAATGAAGTGTATATGCCTTCGTTTTGCAAACACAATTCGTTACTCTCTTTTCTTCTTTAAAAAAGAGAGAGAATCTACGAACATATTATATACACTACAATGCCATTGGCAGTGGTGATCATTGGTGAGCATGGGCTTTAGATAATAAAACAATTGGTACAACTTATCATATATATATATATATATATATATATATATATATATATATATATATATATATATATATATATATATATATATATATATATTTATTTATTTTTTTGGCTAAAATGTAAATTCATTGCTTGAATGAAGGTTTGGTTACAAATTGCTTGAACCAGAATCTGCTTATAAAACCATCATGTTCTAAGAAAAAGTTCTAAAAAACCCTAAGAAACTAATATTAAGAGCAAGGTAACTGATAGTGGTGAGCACTGAAATTAATAAAAGAGAAAATGATTAGAATAGACCTAAAAATGTTTTTATCACAAATATAGACTTTAACAATTAAAATGACCAAAATAACAATTAAATGTTTTATTAAATATACATTTATATATTTGGGTTAACTAATCATAGTTTTTTTTGTTTAGAATTGAGGAGTAAGGTTTTGGGGATATGGTTTCGAATTTTAAAAAATTAAGAAAACTTAAATTTTCAAAATAAAAAAATACTATTTTGATCATTTTAATTTTTGAGGTCTGTTTTGTGATAAAAACTTAAAAGCGGACTATTTTGGAGAATTATCCTTAATAAAAGACTAGAATGAGAGACAACAGATTGCTCCCCAAACATACCACTATTATAGAATATGAGGGTCATCGAAAAAATAGTTAATCAATTAAACAATTTGCAGGATTTAAGGTGTTTTGTAGATATGAACAAACGTAATTACAATCATTGTTGGTTGGTACAATTAATAAGCATATAAAATGAAAAAATATATTTAAGATAAGTTTAATTGGTTGGTACAATTAATAAGCATATATAATATTCATAAAATGACAAAATATATTTTAGATCATTTCTAACTTTTGGTCTTTACAAATCTGTGATTGATCTATATGACTATAAACATATATTCTTATCATAGGTTATGTTATACAATTAATTAATATGCTTATTTGTGTAATAATCAGATAAAGGAAACTAGTTTTGTAGCGAGAGAATAAAGAGAGATAGGAAAAGAAAAGAGGAGAGAAATGGTGTTTTTGCTTACTTAACAAACTAGGTGATTTTCCCGTGCTCATGCACGGACATGTATATTTATAAAATAAATATACAATAATAACGGATTGATATTTACTTTAATTTTTAAATTAATTTATAGTCTGTATGTCTAATTTATATTATAATATTATATTACTTTAATTACATAATAATTTTAGATATGTTATATTTAGTATGTTTTATTGTTTTTACGGTCTATTTAGTTATTATTTAGATATATTGGATTCTATCTATTTCTCTGAATTCAACTATTATCTTTTATATTTTAAAATATTAAACTTTTGATTAATTGTCTTATTTGCATTTATGTTGGTTGTTATCTTAGAAATATAAGTATATTTAGTAACATTATATATAACTTAAGATTTTTTTGTGCTTAGAAGGAAAAAAAATAAAAACTAAAGTTTCTGATTCTAAATTACATACATAAGTAACTAATGAATTTCTAGAAGATTTTTGAACACATATCAATATTTACAATAGTTAACATATTTTATAAATTCTAAATAAATTTATGCTTTAGATTGTTTGGATGGTAAACTGAAATTTATTTTAAATAATTTTAAAATTAAGGATTCTGATTTGCTTAAGTATTTGAATATGGTTATATTAAGTTTCACAAACATAAAAACAAAAAATTATAAATCAAAAGATTATTAAGAAAACAGATAATTTTAACTATTAAAATATAATACATCTACCTTGTTAAATTATATAGTGTTATGGTATTTAAAATAATTGTAGTTATTTTCTGTTTTTATGTTTGTGAAACTTAATATAACCATAATCAAAATACTTAAGTAAATCAGAATCCTTATTCTTAGAACAAATAATTTTAACTATTAAAATATAATATATCTACCTCTTAAATTATATAGTGTTATGATATTTTAAAATAATTGTAGTTACTTGATCAAAAGATGTTTATCATTAAATTTATTTTTAGTTTTATTTTTAGCATCTCTTAAAATAGTCAGTAAAAAGTGATTGTTTTTGAGAAATTATACTATATAAGTAAAATAGAATTTATATTTTTACTGTAATTGTAAGATATTATAGTCAAATAAATATACTAAAAATAATTTCAATAATACTAATTATAAAAAATGTCAGTTAAACATATATCAGTTTATGTTAGTTGATTATTTTATGTAATCATAATTATTTTGAAAATATATATATATTATTGTTTAAAATTATTTTTTTTAAGAAAAATTTTTCTTTTTCTAATAGCAATATTTTTTGTGTGAAATTTAATTTATGAAATCTCATTATATACATATATTGTTTTTTTTTATCTAAGAAGATATAGATATAAAGTATTTTATTACTTCAAAGGTATATTTTATGTTATTGAAAATATATTTAAATTAATTATTACTATTTTGTGAACTTTCCTTTTTTTATTAAACCATATTATATATACTTATATTTTCGTTTT